CATAAGCCACACATCAATCCAGGTTCCTCCTTTTGACACTGTCCCACCATGTCCATTGCCCCTGTTTGCCAAGGGAGACTGCCTTGATCCACCTTGCAGCCTCCTCCTGACAGCACACTTCCTTCACCACCATCTTCCTCCGTGCTGGAGCAGTGGCCTTACTCCAGGCTGGGAGGCTAGTTGTTAGCCCATGCCTCCTCTTCCGTGCTGAACTTTCCCCACGATGTCAGCAAATCTGAGAGCTGATATTTCCTCTTTCACCGCTGTTGCTGGTCTCCATTTTCGCCCAGCAGCCAAGGTTGGTGCATTGCTCTTCATCACTTTGTCTTGAGAATTGTTCAGTGTAATCTGCAGTTGTGTTTTAGTGCACTTGTACTCCTCAGTGAGGCTGGTGAGGGGTAGCTTGAGGACGCCATCTCCGTAGAGGCCTATGGTGGTGAGGCATCGCAGAACTCAGAGCGACTTCTTGATGTAGGCTGTGACTGCTCTTTCCAACTACTCTACTATTGAGATGGGGACCTCATAAACTGAAAGAGGCCACAATGCCCGGGGTAGGAGACCAAACTGGAAGCACCAGGTCTCTAATTTCCCAGGAAGTTGGGTGTTTTCGATGGACCGTAGGCCACCATTAATGTCCTTGCGCAGTTGTTTCACCTCGTCTCTGTCTTTCAGGCTTGCATCGTAGCACCTTCTGAGGCTTTTTACAGGCTATTCAGATACTGTGGGGATTGGATCATCTCCGATGAAGAACCTCTGGTCAGCAAGCACTCCCTTCACCACTGAGATGCTGCACGACTTAGATGGCTTTCTTCATCCGGGCCCAACTGATGTTCTCCTCCAGTTTTCTGAGCAGTCTCCTGGCACATGGGACGGTGGTAGTTAGGGTGGTAATGTTGTCCATGTAGGTTTTGAGGGGAGGGAGGCACAGACAAGAGCTGACTGGTTGTCCACCAACGACCCATTTTGCGACTTGAATGATGATCTCCATTGCCATGGTAAATGCCAAGGGAGAGACTGTGCATCCAGCCATGATGCCTACCTCCAAGCGCTGCCATGAAGTGGTAAATTCCAGAGTTGAGAAGCAGAACTGCAAGTCCTGAAATTAGGCTCTAACCAAAGTTGTAATGTTGTCTGGGATGTTAAAGAAGCTGAAGGCAGACCAAAGGAGCTTGTGGGGCACAGAGCCAAAGGCATTAGCGAGATCTAAGAAGATTACATTGAGGTCATGCTAGCATGTTCTAGACACCCAGAGAAGCCCGATATCCCTGCCTTCTGTACAGATACTGCGCAGATACTCGGCCATCCTCCGTGCAATGACACTTTAGAAGACTTTACCCTCCACATTAAGCAGGGTTCTTGCATATTTTGGAGCTGTATTTGGGTCATTGTCCTGTTGTAGGACAAAATTGGCTCCAATTAAGCACCAAGTGCGCCTCAGCATTTGTTGTCCCCGCTCTGTGATTTTATGTGTCCTACCACTTCGTGGATGAGTTGCTGTTGTTCCCAATTGCTTCCACTTTGTTATAATGCCACTAACAGGTGATTGTGGAATATTTAGTAGCGAGGAAACTTCACGAATGGGTTTACTGCACAGTTGGCATTCTATCACGGTACTACGCTTGAATTCACTGAGCTCCTGAGTCAACCCATTCTTTCGCAAATGTTTGTAGAAGCAGTCTGCCTGCCTAGGTGCTTGATTTTATACAATGATTTGGAGGGGTATCCCAATACTTTTGGTAATATTGTGTGTGTGTGTGTGTGTGTGTGTGCGTGCGAGCGAGCGAGTGGGTATACCTATCCTTATGGGGACACAATGTCCCCATAACATGATAAATATTTGGGGGTTTTTTTCCCTTATGGGGACCAGTTTCCTGGTCCACAAAAGGGAAAACTCTATTTTATAAAAAATTTGTGACTGCTATGAAAAAGACTAAAAATGCAAAAACTCTTGGATTTTGTTTAGTTACTTATGGTTATGGTTAGGGCAGGGTGGGGGTAAAGGTTGTCATAGTTAGCGTTAGCATTTTTCCCATAGAAGTGAATGAGGTGGCCCCATAAGGATAGGTATACCCGACATGTGCGTGTGTGTGTGTGTGTGTGTGTGTGTGTGTGCGAGCGGGTTTACCTATCCTTATGGGGACACAATGTCCCCATAACGTGATAAATATCTGTTTTTTTTTCCCTTATGGGGACCGGTTTCCTCGTCTCCATAAGGGAAAACTCTATTTAATAAAAATCGGTGACTGCTATGAAAAAACTAAAAATGCAAAATCTCTTGTATTTTGTTTGGTTTGTTTGATTGCGTGTGTGTGTGTGTGTGTGTGTGTGTGTGTAACATGATTTATCCAAGCCTAGGCACATTACATGCAGTCTGCGTGAACTGGCAGAAAATGTCAATAATGGTTCTGATTTTACCTACAAGATAACTAGAATACAGTCTTCTTACAATAGATGCACCTACCTGTGTTACACGGTGTTGGGCTCTAGCATCACTACAAATAGCAAAGCTATTGGTTTAATTACATTTTCCAGTACTGAGGTTATGGAATGGCTACTTTCAAAAGCAAATAGTATTTATATAGGGAAATGTTGAGGTAGCTCTTAGAAGCATCACATTGCTGCAAGTCCCCAGATTGACCCATATTTATTCAACCAAATCGTGTATTTGTGCTGTTGCTAGCTCAGTGTATGCCTCTGCCCAATTACAATCTAACATTATGCCCACAACCTACTCAAAACCAGCTGTATTTTTGGAACTGCCATTTTCAATTAATTTCAATTCATCATGACTGAGGAAGCTATCGTAACACCTTGGCCATACCTTGATAAACAGAAATAAATAAATAAACAGAAATGACCAGACTACAAAGTTCGGATTTGAATACATCAAATTTTTCAACAATAAAGCTATTGTCCGCTTTGAGGACTGCAAACATGAACTTCAGAACATGTTCTGACTAAAGAGGAATTGGCTTGCCAATACAAATTTTCTTCAGTGTTGTGTGTTCAGTTACCTCGTTAAGGCCACATTCTGTTTACATCATAGCATTCAGTTTGGCATGGTTATGTTTTCTCTGTACTTTTGTGCAAATGTGCAGTCAGAATCATTGATGTTGTTGGTGCCTGTTTTACTTTTCATTCAGTGCTTATTCTCAATGAATGCAGTAATTTTTCTCCTTTCCAAACAAATCAAAATGATTGACTGATCATTGAATAAGTTTATTATTAAATTATTTGAAAAAATTTGGTTGGTGAATATCATTTTTAAGTTAGTTTCAATGATTACATTTTAATGATTCAATGATTACTTCAATGTAGTTAGGCTACTTTTGCTAAGTAGTAGTGTAACTTGCCTCATTTCTCTGATGTACACTCACCTAAAGGATTATTAGGAACACCATACTAATACGGTGTTTGACCCCCTTTCGCCTTCAGAACTGCCTTAATTCTACGTGCCATTGATTCAACAAGGTGCTGAAAGCATTCTTTAGAAATGTTGGCCCATACTGATAGGATAGCATCTTGCAGTTGATGGAGATTTGTGGGATGCACATCCAGGGCACGAAGCTCCCGTTCCACCACATCCCAAAGATGCTCTATTGGGTTGAGATCTGGTGACTGTGGGGGCCATTTTAGTACAGTGAACTCATTGTCATGTTCAAGAAACCAGTTTGAAATGATTCAAGCTTTGTGACATGGTGCATTATCCTGCTGGAAGTAGCCATCAGAGGATGGGTACATGGTGGTCATAAAGGGATGGACATGGTCAGAAACAATGCTCAGGTAGGCCGTGGCATTTAAACGATGCCCAATTGGCACTAAGGGGCCTAAAGTGTGCCAAGAAAACATCCCCCACACCATTACACCACCACCACCAGCCTGCACAGTGGTAACAAGGCATGATGGATCCATGTTCTCATTCTGTTTACGCCAAATTCTGACTCTACCATTTGAATGTCTCAACAAAAATCGAGACTCATCAGACCAGGCAACATTTTTCCAGTCTTCAACTGTCCAATTTTGGTGAGCTCGTGCAAATTGTAGCCTCTTTTTCCTATTTGTAGTGGAGATGAGTGGTACCCGGTGGGGTCTTCTGCTGTTGTAGCCCATCCGCCTCAAGGTTGTGCGTGTTGTGGCTTCACAAATGCTTTGCTGCATACCTCGGTTGTAACGAGTGGTTATTTCAGTCAAAGTTGCTCTTCTATCAGCTTGAATCAGTCGGCCCATTCTCCTCTGACCTCTATCATCAACAAGGCATTTTCGCCCACAGGACTGCCGCATACTGGATGTTTTTCCCTTTGCACACCATTCTTTGTAAACCCTAGAAATGGTTGTGCGTGAAAATCCCAGTAGCTGAGCAGATTGTGAAATACTCAGACCGGCCCGTCTGGCACCAACAATCATGCCACGCTCAAAATTGCTTAAATCACCTTTCTTTCCCATTCTGACATTCAGTTTGGAGTTCAGGAGATTGTTTTGACCAGGACCACACCCCTAAATGCATTGAAGCAACTGCCATGTGATTGGTTGATTAGATAATTTCATTAATGAGAAATTGAACAGGTGTTCCTAATAATCCTTTAGGTGAGTGTATAGCCTTCATGTTGCTCAGCTATGTTTTTTTGTAGAATAACTAGTAGCATAGCTTACTACATTTTTTAAGTAGCTTGTCCAACACTGGTATTACAGATTGCTACAAGATATCGTTAATCTTTTGATTGAATTGCAATCTTCCCTAGTTGCTTGTGATGGTAGCCTGTGTGCTAACTGTGTCCTAACCATCTGGTAGCTTATAACTGGCATTACTCTGTCCTGTATCCAAAAGTAAAAGGCTGCATCATTAAGCTCACATGACCTGAACAAAAACAAATGTCTGATTTATGATTTATCTGTTTTATGTCTTGAAGGCAGAAAATGTATGTTACTCAAAAATTATTCAACAGCAGAGCAGCATTGTGTGTTACACAATATTAAAGCTGAGTGATTTGCTTAATCTCCAGGGCCCCCGTGAAGTGAAAGACATTCTGAAATTCCTAGAGAGAGAGGCCACCCACAGACTTGGGCAGAGGAGCACCAAGGATGAGTTATGAATAGGGACCAACAGGCTGAGGCATGGATGAAACATGGATGGGAAACCACGAACCATCACAGGAAGATTAACAGGTGACTTTCACAGAGCCGAAACAGAAGCTGCAAGTTGGAAAGTGGCCTTTCATGACCATCGCTGCTCCCCCTGAAGTAGGAAAGGGAGGAGCTGCTGCATGGAGCCATGGTAACAGTGTTACACCATGCTGGCTGTATGGCTATATTTATACTCTGACAAACTGAAAACATGAAGGAAAAGACAGCCTAGCCACTTTTCTGGGATATGTTTTATGTAAAATTTGAGTGTGTTACTTTACCCTCTTACAGATTATGTAGGGTATGAATGAATTTAAACCCTGATTCATGGGGAGGTGGGCTGCATCTTGTGAAATATTTTGGTAATCCACTTTGTTTGACTAAAGGAAATGGATTAATAAAAACACAAACATGACTGTTCTCACCCTCATCTGTCTGGCCTTGCATTGCTACACTCCATTCTATCTAAACCCATAGAACCCTTATATGCTTTTGAAAACCATATTGGTATCTTCAATCCACCAGTGGGTGCAGTGATGCTTCCAGGTGCACTAAAAGTCAACAGCACTCTTCTTGAAGGCATATTTATACTTCTTTATACATAGATTCTACGCTGTTAGTAGCTGAGTAGCCGTGTACCTTATGCCATAGCCTGACGCACACCTCCCCACAAATGTAACTAGGCGTCAGGCTATGATGTAGGGAACATGGCATTGTGGCTATCTGTGGCATACACTCTACGCAGAAGCATAAATCAGTCTCTTCCCTCCAACCACATTATGGTGCTTTTTTCACTGGCATACAGGAACCTACAGAAGCCCATTTCCACCACAAAAATTAAAAAATAGATCAGATACTGTCACAATTATGAGAAGCAAAATTGAAATTATCCATCCATCCATCCATCATCTGCCGCTTGTCCAGGGTTCGGGTCGCGGGGGCAGCAGCTTTAGTAGAGGCACCCAGACCTCCCTCTCCCCAGCTAACCCCACCAGCTCCTCGGGGAAGACACCGAGGCGTTCCCA